ATTGGCTTCTTCTGTCCATTCGAACTTGTCTGTCTTCTTTAGTAGTTTAAAGAAAGGTAACCCTTTTTCGTCGAGCCTTGAAATAAAACGATTGAGTGCCGCCATGCAACCTGTTAGTTTTTGCATATCTTTGACGCTTCAAGGTGGGCCCATCTCTGTTATGGCTCGAATTTACTTGGAGCTTGCTTCGATTCCGCGATGACTGACCAAGAATCCGAGTAGTTGTCCTGAAGGAACTCCGAATACACACTTGTTTGGGTTCAATTTCCACCTCCAACTTTTCAGGTTCTCAAAGGTTTATTTTAAGTCTTCAATCAGTGTATCCGGTTTTTTGTTTTTACAACTACGTCATCCACGTATGTTTCTATGTTTTTGCCGATCTGATCACCAAGGCACCTTTGAATAGTTCTTTGGTAAGTGGCTCCAGCATTCTTGAGTCCAAATGACATGGTCTTGTAGCAGTAGGCACCGAACGGAGTGATGAAAGATGTCTTGCTCTGGTCTTGTTCTGTTAATGTGATCTGGTGATATCCTAAATAGCAATCAAAAAAGGATAATAGGGCGGATCCTGCTGTTGAATCAACTATATGATCAATGCGTGGTAGCCCGAACGGATCTTTCGGGCAGTGCTTGTTGCGATCTGTGTAGTCGACACACATGCACCATTCGTCCGTGTTCTTTTTCTACACTAGAACTGGGTTTGTTAGCCAATCTAGATGAAGGATTTCTCTGATGAATCCGGCCGCCATTAGCTTTGTGATTTCTTTTTTAATCGCTGCCTTCTTGTCATGTGAGAATCGTCATAGCCGTTGCTTTACAGGCTTGGAGCCTTCATTGATATCAATTCTGTGCTCAGCCAACTCTCTTGGGACACCTGGCATATCGGCCGGCTTCCAAGCGAAGATATCTTTGTTGTCCCAAAAAAAGTTGGTGAGCACGAGTTCCTATTTTGCTGAGAGGTGGGCGCTGATGGTTGCTGTCTTAGAGGGATCGCTAGTGCCCAGGTTGATTTGCTTGACGTCGACTTCTTTTGGTGGTGCAAGGATGCTGGGCTTTTTAGCCGATATCTCTAGTTCTTCTTGGCTTATTTCTATAGCAATAGTGGTTATTTCTTTTCTACCATTGTCGGCTTGTGCTTTGGCTGTGATTTGGATTGCCTGAACATCGCAAATCAAAAAGCGCTTCAAATCACTTCAAGAGAAAGAATGCGTTAGGTCCCGGCATCTTAAGCAAGAGGTACGGATAATGCGGTATTGCCATGAATTTTGCTAGTCTTTGGGCACCCGAGAATTGCATGGTATGATGAATCGAAGTCAACAACCTCAAACTTGATGAACTCAGACGGTAGTTCGAGGAATTCAAAAAATCGGTAGAGTAATTTGTCCAAGTGGCATGGCTGCCTTGCCGGGCACTATGCCATAAAAAGGTGTACTTGTTGGTGTAATCATCCCGGTAAGTTGTAGTCCCATCTTCCTTAGCGTTTCTGAAAAGATGATGTTGAGTCCGGCTCCCCCGTCGATTAGTACTTTGGTGACAGTCATACCAGCAATAGTTGGATCTAGAACCAGTGGGTAATGGCCTGCGTTTCCTATGCTAGTCCATTGGTCTTCTCTTGAAAATTAGATTGGATACTGTGACCAATTGAGATATCTTGGAGTAGCCGGTTCTGCTGCCATGATAGTTCATAGTGCTAATTTTTCTTGATGTTTGCTTCTGGAATCTGGGGCCCCAGAGAAGATCACTGCTATCGTCCCTCTGGATTTTTAGAATCCCTTGTCTTCATGGTTGTCCTCATCTTTTTTCCGATTGTCTTCTTTGGTGTTCTCCTTACTATCTTTTCTTGTGTATCGATCTTTGAAGGTGTAGCAATTTCTGATGGTGTGCTTCCCATTAGGGTGCAATGGGCAACGTATGTTTTCGATGTTGTCATATCTTCTGGGTTTGGAAAACTTCCTTGATTTGTCAGCCGTTGCCACGGTGTTGTCTGGTCCACGTTTTTTTTCCGATGTCTGCTATTTTGATGATTTTGCTTTTCCGGGTTGTCTCGGTTGCTTCTATCCAGGAACCTTTCTCATGTTTTCTCTTCTACAGTAATCATCTTTTCTACTATTCGTCTAAATTCTTCATTGTTTCTTGGGTTTTCTTTGCAGAAGTCTTGAAATTGCCACCTAGCCATGATTCCGTGAGAGAAAGCTTCAATTACTTCTCGTTCGGTGATGTCATGTACTTGAACTCGTAGTTCATCGAATCGTCGATAGTTCTCTGAGACTTTCACCTCCCTTCTGCTTGAGTCCTTTTAACTCTGCGTGGGTGATGGGGTGTGTAATGATACCTATGAAATTTTCACAGAAAGCTCTTTGCAAGTCCTCCCATTTTCTGATTGATCCTGAATTCAATTTGTTGAATCATTGGAGAGGCATGGTTTCTAGGGCCATGAGAAAAAACAGAGTCTTGATATCGTTGTCTCCTTCGGCTAGTTCAATCGATTGCGAATATATCCTGAGCCACTGCCTTGGTTCAGTCTTGCCATCATATTTAGAGTGGTTGGACGGTTTGAACTTGTGGGGTAGTCGTATTGACGCAAGTCTGTTTGCAAAACAGGGGAATATATCATGCGTTCTAGCTTCTTTGAATTCCGATTCGACACCTCCTTCTGGCCAACTGTTGTTTTGATGAGAGTAATCCTGCGAGGCTGTCTGGGCAGGCGCCCTGCTTCTGGTCTTTCTTAGTTGTTCAACTCGGTGGCTCTAACTATGGTCCCTTCTACTTTCTCTGTTATGACTTCCACTTGGTCCAAGTCTCTCGAAAGCGGACTTTCTTTGATTTTGATCTTCTTGCCTATGGGTCGTTGATCTGGCGGGTAGTCTTGAGTGGGTCCTTTCTTCGTGCGTCCTCAGGGCTGCTGACCGAAGAAAATCCCAGAGCTGTTCTTGTTTTTCACTAGGATGTGAGGTCGCTCTGAGTTCTTCTAATGCTTCTCGGATCTTATCGTAGGGTGTATTTGCCGTGCGTCTTTCTTTGACTTCTCGTTGTGTTTTTCTTATGTCATACTCGGCCAATTATGACTCATATCTGATTCAAGCTTCCTTGCGCTGCCTAGCACGGTGTTGGCGTCCTTGCTTCAACTTGTTTTTTCTTTCTCTGGCTTGTTTCTGATTCTCGGTCTCACCATCGTAGCCCTGGGCAAAGGGTGATATGTTGGATTCTGATTCATCCGATGACCTGACATCGGGCGCTTCTGGGGTGACCAATGGTGATCGAGGACGGCGAACCATGAGTACTTCCCGTGCGTGAACTGTTCTGTTATTGGCGTTAGTTTCCACACTGTCGGAGTTGCTGATAACTTTAGTAGAGGCCTCGAGGTCGTAGATCGAGTCTCCTTCTTGGTAGGGTAGAATTGCCGTTGTCGTCGTGTCGACCAGTCGGGTACTGCTATCCTCAAGAACAGAGTCCGGCCAGTGGACGATGCAGTCTTGAGATGTTATAGTTAGTACGAGACCTTCCTGAGCTCCCTTCAGTGGCATTCTAAGCACCGGATCGAGGAATCCTTTGGGCCGTTTCTGATAAGATGTTGCCATGTTGTGGAGTCCAAATGGAAAAGGATCCGACTTCTTGAAAAGACTCTGCGTGTACTCCGAGTTGCATTCTTGATAGGCTAGGACCGCGTTCTTAAGCCCCATCGGAAAAGAACTCGGTTTCCCAAAAGAACTCGAATAAAACTCTATCTCGGATGTGAAGCCTGAGTTTGAGTCGGATACGCAAAACCGCGAAACCTGAGTGGAATTGGACATCACGAGCTGCGCGAATCTTCCGGTGATTTGATCTATCGTAGTCGTCGAAATAGAATAGTCTTCATGGTGATTCAAATCTTCGATGAGACGGCCTTGGAGCTTGCCATTGTCGTCCGCCTCGCAGATCCATGAGCCGAAGATGAAAGTTGATCCCATCGAGAAGATCATGCTGTCGAGGTCCATCGAGCTCTCGGATGCAAATTCACCGAAAGCCCCTACCTGGCGCGCCAGCTGTCGATGTTTTTACCACCGATAGCCTATCACGGGGTTACCCGGGATAGTATGTTCGGGCTTCAGCGTATGCGGAACTCGACGGTGAACGCAAGAGACAGTCGATTTATCCTGGTTCGGGTCCTCGATCGTTGACCGAGTAATAGCCCTACGTCCAGTCGACGTTAGACCTTTGCGTTGTATTGATTGTGTGTTGTTGCGTTGTAGAAGTCGTGATCTCCCGTCTCTAGGAACCCTGCCCTCCTTTATATAGTCGGGAGGTCATAATCCTAGTCGGTTTACAATGAGAGTTCCTAGTAGGATTACAGAATAATAATACTACTAAGATTACATGGGGAGAATCCTAGTTAGACTAGATCTTCTCTTTTCCTTGCGGGGTATCCTGTGGGTCCCGCACCGACAGTAATCAGCACAAGTCCATGTAAGAAATCATATATAAAAAAGTTTGTTGGATAGCCCTCAGCATCTACCGATTGTGGCCATATCAACTGTCGGAATCGACTTTGTTATGATAGAGTATATGCCTTCTTTATGTTTTTGATAAGCAAGGTGAATACATAGCAACAAATAGTAAAGTCAAACTATATTTATAGCTTTATTATGTACAATCATATAGGTCATATTATGAATAATAAACTCAGTGGGTTGATATGCCCGATAGTTTGTTTATGTATTTATAATTTTTTATACTATTTTAGGATGAAGCAAAATCTGCAGTAGTGATACAGTTCTTCGTTTTTAAAAAAATGTTAGCAAAAAGAACTCTTGAACAGCTACAACATGGAGCCTTCACATGTATCATGTATGTATATAAACTGGAACCTGCATGGCTGCTTCAAGGTCTCTTCACATCCACATCCACATCCAAGCAGGGAGTTACAATTGTAAAATTTATCACAACCAGCTCAATGGTTAGTGGAGTTACCTTTGAGAATTCCTTGATGTAAACTTGTTTACTATGCCAAATCAAAATGAATTTTAGATAAACGTCAACAGAACCTGATAACTGGATACACAGAAAGAATCATTGGAGTCAACTTCCAATTTAATTGGATACACATTAATAGGATTAGTCTTACTCTTAACAGTGCTCGACCTGGCCTTTAGGGCAAAATCATTTATAGCTGGATCTTTCCGGGTTGTAGCAGTAAGACCAACACCACTGCTTCCGCAGCTAATCAGATAATTTTCTATTGCTCATTACCTTTAAGTTTATATGTGCAACTTTTTACAAACTACAATTGCTAAGGAGAGAGACAGTCGGTCCCCTGCACGGAAGTTTTGAGTTTATTTGTTACACAAATGAAACATAAATTTTGTCTTCCAGTTTTTTTATCTTTCAAAAAAAAAATTTTTTTTTATCAAATACGCAAAAGATTTGCACAATTCCACTTTGACTCGTATCTTACAGTGTGCAATACTATTTCTCTTATTCTGCACATCATGTTTACCATTTGTATACAAGAGAGGGTTGAAAGTATGCTAAAAAAAAAAGAGGGAGAGAGAGAGGGTTGAAAGCTTGAAATGGCAGGGAACGAAGCTTTGCCGCAAAAGCAAATCGTCGCATGTTTTTGTTTGCTTGGGTGTGGTCTCTCTCCTACAGCAGGGGTGAAGGGAGCACTGATCCTTGACTCCTCGTAGTTCCACTTCTAGAGTGAAAACTACCTGCTGCATTTTGTCGAACAGGTGGCCGGCGTGCCCATGGCGGTAACAGCCTGAGAGGTGGAGCTCGTCTGGTTCAGATCATGGCAGCAAGAAAGGCGCGAGTAGTCAGAATGCGGGCCATTAAGGCGGGTGTCAGGTGGAGGCGGAAGCTGTAAGCCGGCGGCAGGAACTGGCCGTGGACCTAGACTGCACCTGGAGAAATCGAGGTCGCCCAGAGGCAGTGCTAGCGTGGTTTGGTCTTTTTCTTGCCTTTCTTCCTCCATGAGCCATGGCAACGCACGGGAGGACGCGGTTGAAGCAGCATGGTTTAGCCTTCTTGATGCCTCTGGAGGAACGCTCGGGCCTGAGGATGAAGAATCTAGAAACTCTAGTTAGTGGTTCATGTGCTTGCTGTTCAGCCACGGGATCAAAATCGTCTTTTAGAAGCAATTAAACAGGCTAGTAGCCATACCTAAGGCAAACTGTGGCAAACTAGCAAAGGCGACCGTTGGCAAAAGTTTGGCAAATACATGTGGTTGGTAGCCAAACTTGTCTATGGTCTTACAGTTCCTTTGGTAATTATATACTGCGCAATTCAGCTTAAAAAGAAGGGTTGCCCGTGAAGCAGTTTCAAAACAAAAGTTAACTGAACGTAGCAACAAGGCAGACGAAATCAGGAAACCAACACGAAATGATTTTACATGCTTTGAAGTCTGAAACAACTAAGTCGGAAAACACCGGTGGCGGTTGGTACGTTTATTCAGGGTGGTGTGATTGTTTTACATCTGTATACAACAATGTACAAGAAACTCTTCTCGCCTATGAATGAATATGGACAGAGCCCAATGTCTTCCTCTATGGTAGAAAGGGGTTCTGGGAGGAACACAATTCCTTTTGCCGTTGATATGCCCTTCACAAATCCAGAATGATCTCATTGATTAGGTAAAAGAATTTATTACAAATAATTAAAAAATGGGAAAAAGTTGAAGTGTGGGTTACCTTGATGCGCTAAAGGCACCAAAAGAAACTGCTGCAAACATTATGAGTAGAAATGGGGCTTTAACCAACGTTCTATTTGATCTTCCGTAGCCGGTCGGAACACCAGAACGCATAACATGAACTGCGTGAAAGATACATCTAATTAGCTATACACAAAGATTGTGTGAATAATTTTCATCATGAAATCAAGTTTACCTTCCATCCTACTCCCTGATCTTCTTCCTGCAAACGATGGATGAGATACAACTCATCAGTGCACAGCACACCACAGTGAATACCTTACTGCTTGTAGTAGGTTTTCCAAAGCAAAGTAAACGTACCATCCTTCAAACAAGAATATGCTTCTGCTATCTGCAAGGTACAAGCACAGGATTTTGTAATGACAGTGGAGGAAAGAGTAAGCTCAGGACTCAGGAATTATGTTACAATGCTTTGTGCAATGGACCCAATTCAGACGTCACCCAACTCGGGAATGGTTGGCATCTATGTGAAACATAAACAAATATTCGATCTTGAAACAAAAAAATATGGGTTCATTTTCATCTCTGCTCATAGATGACTTGTGCTGGTAAGTTAGAAGTGTTCCAAAGCTACTAAGCTAAGCTAGAAGAACATATAAAATGGCATGAATGCTCGCTGCAACATCCAAAATATGTGTTAAGTGCAGATGAGAAAGAAGTCATCCAAAATATGTGTTAAGTGCAGATGAGAAAGAAGTCAGTAAAATTTCTATTCTTTGTATGTACAGCGATTCCATGATGACCAAGAACAAGCAGGGTGATATCAAGCTCTTATCTAAAATTTTACCTTACCTCCTTGAATTTTGACTCAGCCTGCGATTTCAGATGCGTTGGGACGCGATCAGGATGGGACTCCATCACCATTCTTCTATACGCAGCCTTCACCTGCATCACAAAGATGCAGAGTTAGGAACTAAGAATCCGGAAGCGTACAGGACAATTCTCCTCAACCTTCGCCCGTTTTGACCAAAACCCAACAGAACCGACTCAGAAATTGGCGCTGCAGAGCAGCTCAGGATGAATCGCATTCGTTTGGGAGCGGGAGCAGGAGCAGTGAGAGGGACGGGAGCCAAGGGCGGACCTCGGAAGGGGATGGGCGGGAGTAGGGAGGGAAGCCCAGGAGCTCCATGGCCTCGCTGCTCCTCATCGTGCCGTGCCGTGCCGATGCCGACCCCGTCTCCTGCAGCGGAGGGAGGCGGGGGCGACGGCGGCGGGGCGTTGCTTGGTCAGGCGTCACGTCGGTGCAGAAGGCTCGCGAGTCGCGCAGGCATCGAGCGGCGAAGAGCCGGTCGACGCACTTCCTCCCCTCGGACGCCTCGGTGGCAATCCCCCCAGCCGTTAAATCTCTCGTCCGCCGATCCGACGGCTAGAACCCTGGCTCCCAAGCCACCCGCCGCGGCAAACTCGAACGCCTCGCGACGCGAGCTCTCTCGCGCGATGCGCGTGCGGGGAGGCGGCGCGGCCGGAGCACCTGGCCGCGCACGCGCGCCTCGTCAAGTCGGCGTGCCCGGACGCGTTCCTCGTCACCACCGCGATGCGGGGCTACCTCCGCGCGTGCCTCCCGCTGCAAGCCCTGCTCCTCCTCCGCTCGCTCCTGCCGCGGGCCCCCCGCCTCCTCGGCAACTCCTTCTCGCTCTCCCTCGCGCTGCAGGCATCCGCCGCGCTCTCGGGCTCCGTTCCGGCTATGCTTGGCCTCGGCCTCGGCGCCGCGTCCCTCCACGCGCGCGCGCGCAAGTCCGGCTTCGTCGCAGCCGACCTCTTCGTGCGCACCGCGCTCGTCGAGGCCTACGCCAAGGCCGGGCGCGCGGACCTCGCGCGAGCCGCGTTCGACGAGGCGCCGCGCAGGGACGTGTTCCTCTGCAACGTCATGCTCGCGGTCTACGTCGCGCGCGGCGAGGTCGCAGAGGCGAGGAGAGTGTTCGATGGAATGCGCGAGAGGGACATGGTCTCTTGGAACACGCTGATCCACGGGTATGCGGTGAAGGGGGAGGTCGCCCTTGCGAGGGAGATGTTCGACGACATGGAGGACAGGGACGCCTTCTCGTGGAGCTCCATTATGTCGGCGTACGCCAAGGGCAAGAGGTCCAAGGATGCGTTGGAGCTGTGGCAGGAGATGCGTGCGGCCTGTGTCAACCCGGACTGCATCACCATGGTGAGCGTGCTCTCAGTGTGCGGTGATATGGGGGCGCTCGCTGTTGGTGCTGAAGTGCATCAGTTTGTGGAGAGCAATGGGGTTGAGTTGGATGTCAAGCTGGGGACTGCTCTGATTGACATGTATGCCAAGTGCGGAGACATTGATAATTCAGTAAGAGTGTTCCACTCTATGCCAGTGAAGGATGTGCTGACTTGGAGCTCGATGATCATCGGGTTGGCCAATCATGGGCTCGGCCATGATGCTCTCTCCTTGTTCTCAAGGATGCTATCAGAAGGACTGCAACCAAATGAGATTACCTTCATTGGAGTTCTTATATCCTGTACTCATCTTGGTCTCGTGAGCGATGGCAAGAAGTATTTCAGCTCAATGAGTGTAGTGCATGGTGTAACCCCGAAGGTTGAGCACTATGGATGCATGGTTGATCTTTTGGGGCGGTCGGGTCATATTGAGGAGGCAAGGCAGCTCATTAGGGGCATGCCATTCGAGCCAGATGCAGTCATCTGGAGGACACTTCTTGGGGCTTGCCGCATCTATAAGAATGTAGAAGTTGCAGAGGAAGCTATGACAAAACTGCGAGTATTGGATCCTCATGCCGATGAGCACTATGTCTTACTGTCAAACATATATGCACAAGCGAATTCCTGGGAATGTGTTGCAGAGATGAGGAGGATGCTTAGGAGGGAGAGCATTCAGAGAATTCCTGGAAGAAGCTCAATTGAGTGGCAGAATACAATTCACGAGTTTGTTTCTGGTGATAGATCACATCCAAGGTCCAAGGAGATCTACAAAATGTTGGAAGAGATGATGGATCGCTTAAGACAAGCTGGATATAAGCCAATGACAGGCTTAGTGTTGCAAGACATTGATGAGCAATCTAAGGAACGTGCATTGGCTGAACATAGTGAGAAGCTGGCGATTGCTTTTGGGCTGCTAACCACTCCTGCAGGCTCAACTCTCCGAATAACAAAGAATCTGAGAGCCTGTGAAGACTGCCATTCAGCTATTAAGCTTATTTCCTTGTTGTACGAGCGCAAGTTGATCATTAGAGACCGTAACCGTTTCCACCATTTCAGTGAAGGACAATGCTCATGCAAGGACTACTGGTGATTGGCAAAGTTTCAAACTTGTACCAAATGCGCCGTGCAGGAGTTTATCTTATATCCATGGTCTTCACAGGTATTCTTTTAGTTGAACATGCATCTGAAAGGACTTCTTTCAACGAACAACATATCACAATTTCTTTCTTGAGTCATGGAGGTCAGCCAGGGGCTTCAAAAGCAAACAATCTTACATTCCAATACCAATATATAAGAGAAATATAGAGACCAGGTAACTCTGAATCTCTTGTATGTGTAGTTTACTTGTTTACATCATATTATCCCTTAGGAGTTCGATGTATTGTCAGTTGCCAATTTGTCATAATCTAAGCCTCTTAAGGTTTCATGACAAAAGGCATAAGGGAGCACATTTGTAATAGGTGCATGGCCAATATACTGTTTTAAATTCAGTATATTGTTTGTGTTAGTTTGTGTCTATAGCCTATTTAGTAAGGGGCTCTTTGTTAAAAGCTACTATTGTATCTACCTATCTCTTGTCTGATAGAATCCTGCTTTAAAAATTGCTGGCTTTTGCATGTCCCCAAGTCCTCTGAGAGCGTCTCACACAACTGCAACATTGAAACAACATGATAGACAGAATAAATCAAATATCTGCTAACATGAAATCATCCGGAACATTCAAGACTTTCAAATACTGAATTGTCAAGGGAGGGGGCAATACCTTTCTGTACAGGGAGCAGTCTCCAGATGACTTCTTTAGTTCGACAACATAAAGAGATTCATTGATCTCAAACACCTGGAATCATAATACCACAATGTTAATAATAGGAAGGTCCAATAGAAACATAGAACAACAAAGCCTTTAAGTCCCAAACAAGTTGGGGTAGGCTAGAGTTGAAACCCAGCAGAAACAATCAAGGTTCAGGCACGTGAATAGCTGTCTTCCAAGCACTCCTATCTAAGGCTAAGTCTTTAGGTATATTCCATCCTTTCAAGTCTCCTTTTATTGCCTCTACCCAAGTCAACTTCGGTCTTCCTCTGCCTCTCTTCACGTTACTATCCTGGCTTAGGATTTCACTACGCACCGGTGCCTCTGGAGGTCTCGTTGGACATGTCCAAACCATCTCAACCGGTGTTGGACAAGCTTTTCTTCAATTGGTGCTACCCATAATCTATCACGTATATCATCGTTCCGAACTTGATCTCTTTTGTATGACCGCAAATCCAACGCAACATACGCAATTCCGCGACACTTATCTGTTGAACATGTCGTCTTTTCGTAGGCCAACATTCTGCACCATACAACATAGCAGGTCTAATCGCCGTCCAATAAAACTTACCTTTTAGCTTCTGTGGTACCCTTTTGTCACATAGGACACCAGATGTTTGGTGCCACTTCATCCACCCTGCTTTGATTCTATGGCTAACATCTCCATCAATATCCCCGTCTCTCTGTAGCACTGATCCTAAATATCGAAAGGTATCCTTCTTAGGCACTACTTGACCTTCCAAACTAATATCTTCCTCCTCCCGAGTAGTAGTGCCGAAGTCACATCTCATATACTCAGTATTAGTTCTACTGAGTCTAAAACCTTTGGACTCCAAAGTCTCCCGCCATAACTCCAGTTTCTGATTCACTCATGTCCGGCTTTCATCAACTAGCACTACATCGTCCGCGAAAAGCATACACCAAGAGATGTCCCCTTGTAAGTCCTTTGTGACCTCATCCATCACTAAGGCAAACAAATAAGGGCTCAAAGTTGACCCTTGATGTAGTGCTATCCTAATCGGGAAGTCATCTGTGTCTCCATCACTTGTTCAAACTCTAGTCACAACATTATTGTACATGTCCTTAATGAGCCCAACGTACTTCGTTGGGACTTTATGAGATCATCATAAAAAGAAACAAGAAGTCTAATAGAAATACACTAGGCACCATGGGAGACAGCTGCATTAAACTACAAATATCTTATGTACTATAAATACCTCAGCAGAAATTAATAATGATTCTTGCCCTCTTGAATTTGCTAGTCCCTTGCAATCTTGGATCACTTTTAGCTGCAGGACACGACAATATGATTCTCAGCATCCTGATTCCAAACACACAGAGCTGGAAGTCTGTAGACATGAATACATGATAGGAGATCACTTACCTTGCCGTTGCTCTTATGTACTTGGAAACCCATTTTTCTGACAATGCTCTCAATCTTCTCAAATAAATAAGCTGGGGAATAATTTGATGCAAATCTGATTTTCCTTTCAGAAGCATCCTACAACTCAAGGCACATGTCTGACTTTAGTGGAAGGTTATGACAACTATGAAAAACATCTATATCTCTAGAGTATTATTATTAACAATGTTAATGCCCAATAAAGGCACAGAGACAACTAAGCAAGGCAGGCTTTGTCAATTTCTGGTTCCTGGCTGCTATTCTTTTCGTACACTTTTTAACATTTTTACCATCTAATTGAACCCTTCCAATTCCAACTTAGGACTTGCTTCGTATGTACAGTCTGGGATAGGACTTGCTTCAAATTTAAAGTCTTCAGTAGATGTAAGGAATTAAAACATGCTAAAAAAATAGATTGAAACAAACATTGAGCTTTACCTCTTTCTCAAAAAATCCGGATAAATCAAGGCAGGAGGACATCCCAATGAGCTGGAAAGCATTCATTTGGTTGATTGCTATCTTGTCTTGAATGCCATTATGCTTTAGAAAACACTGTCAATTTCAGTCTTTACCAGTCTGCTAAAAGCCTAAAACCATGGTATTATATGGCAAATGTAAATACAGCTCACATAGGTTACCTCGGTCATATTTAGGCTGTCTACATCCATGCTGATATCTTCTTCATCATCATTAAATGGCACAGCAGGAGCATAGCCTTGCTTGAACCATTCATGTGCCCTTATTCCATCCACATCTATGCGCGTAATCGGGTTAGGATCCAGGATTTTTCTCAGTATATCTTGGGCACCTTTAGAGAGCCACTTTGGAATGTGAGCATTCCCCTTCAGAATCTGAGAACAGATAAACATCACACTGAGATATGGTTGCATCAAATGAAATTAGCCAAATATATTCCGGTAATACTTCATTCCTTGCTTTATACCTTCTGATAAAGGACAACCACATTTTGGTCGTCAAATGGAAGATTCCCTGTAAGCATTACATATAGAATAACACCACAGGACCATATGTCAGACATCGAGCCATCATAACCTTTGTTCAGAAGGACCTAAAAACACCGGTGTCAGTAATTCCATCTTCCATGTGCACCATGCACATGCAGAACTGAAGTAGATAGTAATGATGGAACCATGCATCCTAGTAGGTTCAACACCAGAACGAAAAGTGTGCTTAATTCTTACCTCAGGGGCTATGTAGTTAGGGCTGCCACATGTGGTATGCAACAAACCATCTTTCTGAAAAAAGAGCCATCATTTTAGGCACAGACAAAATGGTTCAGATTGATTTGACAGCAGAGAGGACGGCATACTCGTTGGTTTCGTGGAAGTGCACTTAGTCCGAAATCAGAAACCTTTATGTTTCCTTTTGCATCAACAAGGACATTCTCTGGCTGCAAAAGATTCAGAAGAAAAGTCTTGATGATGTATGTAATCTGTTTACCGTTCCTATCATCGACTGGTATCTCAAAAGCTATGGTTAGTGATTACCTTGAGGTCCCTATGATAAACCCCCTTCTCGTGGCAATATGCTACGGCATCTATTAGCTGCTGGAATAGTTTTCTCGCTTCCTTCTCTGTCAGCTTACCCTTCAATGCCTGCATGTATTGAAGATTGAGTTTGGTATGCATTCGAAAGCCTTTGGTAGCTGTAGCTCAAGAATTGGCTTCATTGGTTGATTAGTCAACAAAGCATGTGGCTTGACTGGTTTACAACCAAGGGGCAGAACTCTTACAATTTTGTCAAATAGCTCTCCTCCATTTACATACTCAAGGACCATGTATATTTTGGTCTTGCTTGCTGAAACCTGCACAAGAAAAGAAGGTTAAATAATGGTTCAGTCCTTTTTCTCAAACAAACAGATTAGTTCTATGTTCTCACGCAACTTTATATTTTAGTATATGTGTGCCACTTTTAGCGTAGATCATCACTGGGTGTGATCCTAGCTTGCCAATAAAGGATGCCCTTTATCTACCGTTTCCCCCTTGTTATCAGCTATCACAGTGGCTGTACTTCTAGAAGTTAGAACTCACCCAGGGTAGCTTTTGGGCTTCAGGACAAGCCATTTCCACATTGGTCTGCTGACAATTACCTCAGCCGGCAGGCATCGTTTTCTAGCATTTTTGTCTATTAGGAAGCAAAAGCCTGACGTGGGCATCATCCACTAATGAAACCAGTCGGTGAGCCAAACTCATCCATCTGCTGCTACTCTGATTGACACTTCACCTATGCATGATCATCGTTATTGTATGGAATTACTCTACTAGCGTTGTGGGGACCAGGCCATAGTACTTGAAGATTCATGTGTGTGTGTGTGTGTGTGAAGCAGCTTGGCTCACGCTATTCACCCTTCTTTTTCTTCTGCCTCGCAGAACCAAAAGCCGCCTGACGAAACGCACGGCCGGAAGGATGAGCTGATGAGTGATGACGCAGTGCATCCAATAATTGGGATCCTGCACGCCACCTCCACGAATCAAAAGGCATTTTATCCACTTGGTTGGCTGGCTTCCGGCCGGATCTCCTACAGGGTAGAGGTAGCCAGACAAGCCTCAGGACAAGACGAAGCCCGTCGCTATCTCGCTTCATCGGTGTTGCGTGCTGGGAGCACCAGCCGCCGCCCGATCACCGAAGCTGACGGCTGGGATCGCACGTGGCCCTCGTGGGTGCGGACAGGCCTCACCTGACGGCCTCCTCATCCTCTGCAGCAGTCCTCAATGGCCGTCAGCAGATTTGGAGGACTTCGACCGCCTGACGTGACGACGTCGACACCCCGGAATTTTGTTTCCGTTGCAGGATCTTTTATTTTTGTATTATTATTATTGAATTGATTTATATTTTGATGTTTACAGCAAGTTTGCTCTGCACCAACTGAGAATAGACCCCGGAGCAATATAATAATAAGTAAATTAAAATAAAATAAGTGGCAAGAGTACATAAAGAATTTCTGGGAATGTAACAGTAGAAGACTTTTCTTGGCCTAACTTGCTTGGGTTGGGTTGCGATTGTGGTGTAGAAAAAAATGTACTTTGGCTGGTCCTTTCGGGGGTCCATTTGTTTGTTATGTTTACAGGGATGTGAGGATGTCCAAGTAAGTAATAAAGTAAATTGAAAGTAGCACTACTTTTAATGGAGTACTAATGTTATTATTATTCAAAAGAAGGGAAGCCCGTTTTCTTTGTGCGACGAAACATTCAAAGAAGAGTAACGACTGAGCTGCGGACTGATTTTTCTTCTATGATTTGCAGCGGCCTCGACATTCACACGCAACTTGTTCAACGGCACAGTGGGCTAATTGCTTGCTTGCTTTGTCATCGGCCCCGCACGCAAATTAATTAGTTTGCCCAAGCTACCCTTCCCCTTCTTCTCCTTGTTCCAACACGGCAACACGGCGAGAAGAAGAGCACGGAATCAATCAAGAGAGGACAGAGGAGGGAGGATACGAGCTTCACCTCGTACAGGCGGACGACGTTGGGGTGCTTGAGCAGCTTCAGCGTCGCGATCTCCCTCTTGATCTGCGCCCGGCCAGGCGGCCACTTGGTCATCAGCACCGGAGTATGTATGTAATTGGAAGTTCGGAACTCAGAAGCAAAAGGACGGAAGGAAAGAATCGGCGGCGCGGCCGGCCACGATTGATTCCGAGAGGGAATCGACCGAACCGGTGGGCGGGCGGGCGGCCACGCACCTGCTCGTTGATCTTCATGGCGAGGATGCGCTGGCGGTCGAGGATCTTGATGGCGAAGGTCCGGCCCGTGTCCGCGTCCCGCGCCAGCTTCACCTTGCCGAAGTGGCCCTCCCCGAGCGTCCGCCCCATCTCGTACTTCCCCATCCGCATTCCTCCGCCGCGCCGCCGGTGCTCGCTCGTCGCTCGTCGATCCTCCGCGGGGACGGGGTCGACGCACGCAGCAGCTTAGCCCCGGCCTCCCGTCCGCGCGCGTGCGGTGAACTAACTAGAGGCTTTGCTGCGGCGAGCGGGTGGACTAGAGGCTGACCGGCCGGTAACGTTAGGTGGGGAGGGGGCGGAGGGAAGCAGCTAGCTAGCGGCCATCGCCAAACATCGCGGGTTTATACCGAACCATCGATGGATATCGGGGAGGCAAGGGACCCGCGACAGGGCCCACACACTCTATTATTCTAGGCTTCTAGCGTTCGTGTGCTATACTCTACTAGTTTTTACTTTTATAAAAAAAACATTTTCCCTTTTTAATGTGAGGTGTTGCGTTGCGACTGACTTTGCGAGACTTAGCCCGCATCATGAGTATTTTGATTTTTTTTATGGTGTTTGTTCGGTTCATGATTTTGCGGACGTATAATAGTTTTAATTTATTTTTGGGAGTTCATGCATGTAGCAGGTTTGGTTTTTGCTAATGTCGAGACGTGGATCGTTGTCCAGAATAATGCTAGGATGTGGATAAGAGGCGTTGGGGTCTCCTTTCAAAACTATTATTGTAATACTGAGGATTGTAGATTGCTCAGTGTTTGGTGTCGATCTTGCTTTCACCAGCCTCTTCTGTACCTTGTCAAATCGCATCTCGAAAGTGTGTCACCGATTGATGGTTGTTTTTGGCTTACTCAATTTTTATGATTTGTGAGCTCATTTGCGTTCTGTTTGCATCAAAAGCTCTTTTCGATTTTTTTTTTGAAACTAGAGATCATTATTTTCCAAATACAACAAATATACAGATGCTGACACATGTATATACTTGTACACTCACCACTTTGAAATAAAGGAACACACATTCTACATCAAAAGATTAAGTCAGTAAATATTGTTGGTGTACTATAGTATTGTTTATTTTTCCTTTTCAAATATAAGTTGTTGCTAAACTGGCCAGGATCATGAGTGTTTGGCGTTGTTAATCTGCTAATGATTTTGAGGAGGCATAATCATTTATTTATTTTTGGTTTGTGTAGTTGGTTTTGATTTTTGCTAATGTGGAGACGTAGACCATTAAATAATGCGAAGATGTGGATAAGAGGAGTTCGGGTTTCATATCTCAAACTCTATTATTGTATAAGACCATGGAATACTCATTGCTTGGTGTGTTGCTTTCACCAGCTTGTTGTGTATCTTGTCAATTCGTGTCGTAGAGTTGTAGAATATTGCATATCATGGTATCATGGATTTGTGACAGCTTCATGCTTACTTATGGTCTATTTGGTTCAGCTGTGTAAAAAATTGCTTTAAGTTGTGAGTTATGAAAAAGCTGTGCGTGAAGTATGTGTTGTGAAAAAATATGTAAATTGTTTAGTTGAAACAACTATGGGTTTGTGTAGCTGATTTGATTTTTGCTAACGTGCGACATGGAACGTTAAATAATTCGAAGATGTGGTGGATGAGGGGATGTGGGGTTTGATATCTAAACTCTATTATTCTATAAGACCATCGATTTCTCATTGTTTGGTACACGAGCTTGCTGCGTATCTTGTCAAATCGCATTGTAGAGCTCTAGAACATCGTGCATCATGGATTTGTGACTGCTTTTAGGCTTATTCATGGTTTGATTGGTTCAGTTGTGAACTGTGTGGAGAAACTGTTTTAAGCTGCAAGTTATTAAAAAATGTTATAAGCTATGTGATGTGAAAAAGATGTAAGTTGTTTGGTTAAAATAACAATGAAACATGTCCTCTCTGTCTCTCTTTATCTCCCCTGAAAGGGATATAAAAGGCCTCTCTATTTTCACCTATTTGGAAGAGCAAAAGTACTTATTTGATGGCCTGTCTTTGATAATCTAGCTATGGGGCAAGGTAGAATCACCTTTTGGTTCGTTTGATTGCTTTGTGTTTGCTAATTTAAAGACGTTGATAAGAAAAGTTAGAGATTTATCTTTCAACTATGTTGTATACGATGAATGACAATGATATGTTTGGTATGTTGCTTTCATCATAGTTGTATCTTATCAAATTTCATCTAGAATATTATGTACATAAAAAATTAGTCATTTATTTGGCTTAGTCAACTCCAAATGAAGTGGGTCCAAAAACGATGGCATGTATTGTAACTTTGTGAGAGCTCATTTTTTCTTTACTTGCTTAAATGAACCAAACCAAGAGGCATTAGTACCTTTCAAGATCCACAAAAACAATTTAGAAGGGAGCTAATAATATATGTGTTTTGTGTATACGAAAAGTTGGGTTTGATCTTTCAAAGCTCTATTATTGTGTACAGCAGGGCTATTCACTAGTTATTGTCTAGTGTGTTGCTTTCAGCAACATGCTGTACCTATCTCTTGTTAAATTGCTTTGTAGAATATTTTGCGTAACTAATAGATCGAGTGATTTTTGGCTTACTCAGTTGCTACGCGATGTGAGATCTCATTTGTGTTTTGTCTGCCATCAAGAGATTTTTGACTTATACTCAAATATCGTGAGAGATCATTTGTGTTATGTTCTTAACCAAGAGGTATTTTAGTGCCAATTATTATAACTTGTGTTATTTATCTAGAGTCTAGACACAATGTATATATATCTAAGTGTATACAAAAGTTAAAGACAAAACAACGTATAACTTGAGGCGGAGAGAGCACTAGTTGATTCCTGCAGCTTAAATGTAGCTAACTATTACCTCTATATATCTAAAAAATTGATTAATAACCCAGCTATTAACCAGAAGCTATTAGCTGGTATCCACAAGCTAGCCGTTAATTTAAGAGCTATATAAGGATCCAAATCGCATCTACTGTCGTTATCCGGCCAGAATGTAACCACTTGTCCTTGTTCTGCGAGAAAACCACTCAATGCATGAGTTCTTCCAAGTTCCAGACATATAGGCTATGTCACACATATATAGCTCCACACAGACTACAGCCAACCTCTCAGCACCACGGAAATAAACCAGGAAGAAAAAAAAAAAAAAGGAAAAGGAAAAGGAAAAACTCACTCACTGCACGCGCATGCATGGTACAGAAACAAGATCTGTACGACTGTCAATGCGTGTGAGCTTCAACCAAAAATCCTTTTTTTTTTGTCCAATCGAATTATTGACCGCGCGCGCGTGATGCTTGTCCAGCAGTCAGCCGTGGCCCTAGCTAATTAATTAATTTCTCAAATTGCAAATACGAATGCTCCAGTTTTGTTAACCACCGTACGTGCAAATGAAACCGAGGCCCCAGTTGTCACTTTCAAAGCTTGTATATAGAGGACCGTTGATTATTGACTTATTGTCTGGTGCATGTGTCGCTTTCGTCTTTTGGCAGCTTGCTGTATATCTCTTGTGAAATCCGTCCTGTGCGTAGAATATGTTTTTTTTTGTGCGTATGAATAAAGAGTTAAAAACCGACTTGTTTTAATTTGGCTTGCTCAGTTCAGTCGTGACGACGCGATGCCATGGGACAGCTCATTTGGTTGTTACGTTACAAAGGTGCATGAGAGTTCAAGGTTCTCGACCGACCTGCATGCTCGCTCAAATACGTACTGCGAGAGGTCGTCGTCGTCGTCTGTGCTGTGCAGTGCTATAGTATATGGTTGCCGACCAAGTGGCATGCATTAGTGCCTTTGCTGTGCTGCCGTGCTGGTAGTCTGTAACGTGACGACTCGTCTCTGCAAGACACTGCTCTGCTAGTGAATGCAATATATATGCAGAGGATCGGAGCCCCTTCCAAGTTCCAGATGCATTCGTGAAATACTCCAGAGAGGAAGAAGGAGAAATGGTCAGATTCAGTCGCCGCACAGCCACATCCTCACATGCACATGCACGGTAGGGAGAAGCACAGCATGCATGCATGATGGGTGCGGCGCGGCGCGGCCGGCCCCGCGGGTTGATGCACGCACGCATGCCTAGTTGCCTACGTGTGTGAGCAGCAGATCCATTGGTGCGCCCAATCAAATCCCGCGCTGCCGCGTGACGTCGATGAGCGTGCCCACTGCCCCACCAGGGCACCAGGAGCGAGCCAGCGAGGTGGGGATTCAATTCGCGCGCGGTGGCCGGTGGCGCGGCCATGCCGGTCGCCATCCGTCCATCTTTCGGCATCGTGTCGTCGTCGCAGTAGCTAGCACGCGCGCATTCGCCGCGCCCGCGCCGCCGCTGATGCGGTCGGGGTGGGAGGACGGTCCCGGCGCATATGACCCCACGCCGCGGCCTGTGCGGTGGGCACTGCGGCGATCGTATCGAGATTGGGGCCGCCGGCCGCGCGCGTCGTGTCCCCGGGCCTCCGTTGCCGCCGGTTTCTCCGGAGATTGGGACGGAGCCGCGCAGCAGCAGGAACCGATGCAACTGCATCGCGTGGTAGCTGCTCCCGCGGACACGTACGTGTACGTACCGCGGCGGTCCGCAGGATCGACCGCACGCACCTGATTTGTACTCCCGTCCCTATATACGGCCGCCATGGCCACGGGGCTCTGTCGGTGGCTGATGCGGAGGCCGACGTAACGGCACGAGGGCCTCATGCGTGGCACGCGTGAAGCACGCTCGCGGCGCGCTGACTGACAGATGCCATGCCCCCGGCCCGCGCACGGCACGACACGAGCCGATAGATGCAAGCTGACCATATCCTCCTAACTCCTCAGACCGGGGGTCAGGGTCTCAGGGACAAGGACCAGCGGCGACATGCATGCTGCAGCCGGCCTGTCCCGTCCGGCCCCGTTCCACCCACAGGCCACAGAGGCGTCCGTTCCGTGCCGTTGCCCGTTGGTCCTTCCTTTTTCCTTCCTCCTCCCTCAGCCTCAGGCCCATGTGCACACGCGACGGGGCGGTGCTCCCACGTGCACACGCACATGGAGAGGAATGGCCGCGACCACGGGCCTCGGCCCGGTAAGAAAGGCTTCTACAGCCCGATTTCTTCTCGTGGGAGGGCCCTGTCGCTTGATCGCTTCAGAAAGATGGGCCGCACGCTCTCG